AAATAAAATTACATATATAATATAATTATAGTACAAAATATAAAAATTTACAACTGACTAATATTGTTAGAATTAATTTTTAAATAATCGTACGTGAAAGTATTATTCAAGACACTACACATAGCACACTACAGTGTTATTATGTCATAGAGTAATATATAGAGTAATTACTCTATGTATTATGTACAATTTGGACAGCGTGTCTGAATCGTAATCTTATTTTCGATAATAGTGATTAATAACGATTAGCAATATTGCAATMATATCATCAGAGTATCTKTCACCCGGTTTTTACCTCRCACAGGTAAAAATAATTTCACTCRCCCAAACGGTACAAATGATAGTCGCCCAAACGGACTACTATTTTTTTGGTAAAAATTATTACCTTCGCCCAAACGACCACCGCCCTTTAATCGGATGGGACTGAAATAACGTAAGTGTCTCGTCGTAATTTTCCTCCTGTACATGTACTAATATTCTACTCGTTAGCCAATCGTTATCCCTTTAAACGGCCGTTTCTTGCGTATAAACTTCGATTTTTATACCCATAACTGTTTTAACACATTATTTTATATAAATTATGCAAGTTGTAACATCAACGACGAATTTCTGTATAAATTAGCTATCTAAATTTTAAAGTAACACGAATACAAAAATATTTAACTTAAAATTATAATTAATTGAGTACTTTTAGAATACCAGTTGAATTTTTGAAAAAGTTGTTGATGGTGACAAAATTCGTGGCGACGCAACCTGACAACCTGTATTATGAGATGCAACTCGTAAATTTCAGCAGATATTTCCTATCAGATTCCGGTTTTGAATTGTGGAGATTTGACCGGTCAGCTGGCGGATCGTGCGTAGGTCGAAAAAAGAACAACGCGGTCTCTAATAAATGACAATTAGGCAAAATGGTTGTATTTGAACGATTTCTGGAATTCGGACGCCGTCTGAATATTACGCTTACTGTTTGGATATTGATAATATTATTATCATAAACATATTTCACGCTGCACGAACATCACATATTGTTATTATTATTATTATATTATTGTGGGCTACTTTCGTCGTCATTAGTATAGTATAATGTATTACGTGCAGACGTTCAGTTATAGATTATCGTCGTGAGAATATTTACTTCCAGCAAACGTCATTATTTCACGACGATGATCTATAACTGCACATAATATATCGTCAGCTTAATTCGTAAATCTCGTAACTTCAAAATTACGGTTTTGAGATTATTATATTTTTCTTTTTACAAAAAAAGAAACGCATCGTTTAAAACCACTCTTACTCTGATAAGACAATTTCTCTTCGTACAACTAGCTAATAGCAATTAAAGTTACGACGAAATAAACTTAACTCCAAGGAGTCTCCAATTAAAAGTAATTTTCGTACCTCCTAAACGACCATAACTGCATAACTTGTGATAAAATATTATTTTTCAAAATAATGTTACAATTATAATATTATTTTTGTTTTTTTTTTCGATATTAAATTAATTATAATGTCGTCTAGATCAAAAACCAAAAAACTTTTAAGTTAAGTTCTAAATAATTATACAAATACTGGTAAAGCAGCAGAAACTGACACTGATGTAGCTGTTAATAATAAYGTTGAAGTTGTGTTGGACATTGATAATATTGGTTTTGGGAACATCGAAGGAGCAAGATTTAATATTCAATTATTTTATCCTATTATGACCTAGGTACTTGTATAGAATAATTTAATATTAAGGACAAATTTAAAATATTTAAATATAAAATTAGCAATACTATTTTTTTAACATACCCAATGATTTTAGGTACTGAAACTGTAATTGACCTGGTCGTTAATAATAATGATGAAGTGATGCTAAATGATATTGGTTTAGGAAACAATTCAGAGGAGCAAGGTATAATATTCAATCCTTCTTATTATGACATAAGTTGAATATCTATTGAATCATTTAATATTAAGGATAAATTCGCCAAGAATTTTGTCACCATCAACGACTTTTTCAAAATTAACACGTTGTCCAAATTTGGTTTTACAACTGGTATTCTAAAAGTACTAATTAGTTATATATAAATAAGTTAATAATTTTAAGTTAAAAATTTTTGTATTCGTGTTACTTTAAAATTTAGATAGCTAATTTATACAGAAACTCGTCGTTGATGTTACAACTTGCATTATTTATATAAAAGAACGTGTTAAAACAATTATGGGTATAAAAATCAAAGTTTATACACAAGAAACGGCCGTTTAAAGGGATAACAACGAGTAGAATATTAGTACATGTACAGGAGAAAATTACGACGAGACACTTACGTTATTTCAGTCCCATCCGATTAAATTCTACAAATTTATCTATACAGAAATATTTATATTTTTTCGTATGGCCATTTCTGAAATTTGGACAGCGTCTGTTTGCCGGAAGAATTCAGTCGATGGGTGAGAGAAACGTTTCCCAGCTTTAGCTCCACGTGAAAGGTTTAAAAAAAAAAAATCTTTTTTACAAATTTGAGATGAGTTGTGGAGAAATAATATCGAGACAATATTTAAATTTATAATACATATTATTATAATATATGAGTATTATATTATGAAAAATAATAATTATTCATAATAAGTGATAAATGYGTATGAGTGTGTGATGATTACGCCTCGACGACCGACTCGATCCAAGCATCCATCCTGGACAYGTCGCGTGTATACAACTTTTTTAACGTTTCTAAAGCGAGAGTCCTGCGTCTCAAAGTCCACGTGGACTCCATCGAGTTGACGTGTGTCAGTTTACTAATAAAAAACTCCCGGACTCTGCTCAAGTACTCTTCAACGCGTTCTGCRATTTGTCGACATCCGTCGGTCTGTTGATCGCCGCTGCAGCTCAACATCCGCTCGCTGTCAACCCTCAACGTGACGAATTCTCTGTCGAACTTTTTAAACTTTCTACTGATTTGAATTTCGTAGTCCGAATTTTCGCATTTCTCGTTGGGCAGCTTGGTTTTAATATACACCTTTGTCAAACCAAATATAAATAAAAATTTGTTAAAATAACACGTGAAAAATAATATATAGTATCCCTTTCCTATAMAGTATTGCAGCATTTCTTGAGGATAATTCGTTTTTTCGATTAGTTATTTTATGACGGTTATCGTTTATGCATCACTATTGTTATTTTATGACCTTTATTTTTGTAAGACAAATCGTTTTATTTTTGGGTTATACATCGTTTGCGCATCGATAATTAGCATCAATATAATTTAACAAATTTKATTACATATCACATACATCATTCGCAGGGACGGCGCTAGGATTTACGGGGCCCTGGGCAAAATAAATAACAGCCACATTACATATTATCCAAACTAACTATAATCTCTGAACAGTATAAAATATAATTTAAGAACTGCGGGGCCTTAATAATTATAATTATAAAATCGTGGGGCCGGTGGCAACTGTCCCGATTGCCCCCCCTCGCGCCGTCACTGCGAATGATTCATTCGTTCTGAGAAGCTGTCCTAAGCACTAATTAGTAGGACACTTATTACCTCGTTCACGCCCTTCAGACGGCCGTTCTCAGCTCGATACCCGCTCGTCATCGCCGCCGTCCGCTTCTTCTCGCAATCGGTCGACTGATTGCCTTCCAACTGACGGAAAGTTCGGTCCATTGCGATCCGGTCCAAGCACATCGGTGGCAACTCACGTTTTTTCGCTGCGGCGGACAAATAAAAACGCCGAGCGTGTTCGTTTCTCTCGTATTCGATCGGTGACCATGCCGCCAGGCTTTCCGTCGACTCAGATCGATGTAGAAAATGCATTTTGTAGCGCTGATTGTCTCTTTTAATATGAACTGATATAAAAATCGTATAAGATAAAAGGAATCCAAAATCCGTGAATGTACGAAAATTATAATAATATGCGATAGGATCAAACAAACAAAGATATAGTCATCATGGTAACCAAAAACATAAAATACCTACATTTTAGCTTATCACAAAAGTACGGATTTTAGCCTTATTTACTGTAGTGATATACATAAATGTTTGAATTATTATAAATTAATAAAAACAAATTTATTTAATTGTTAATAAATTAATAAATTAACTATAATAGTACGATTTTGGTC